ACTACTATTATTGCCCTTACTTAAATATTAAATCGAACAACAATTACACCACCTTGTATAAAGTTATAGAAGAATTATGTGGATAAATACAAAATCTATAAAGGGTTAAAGTGGATATTTATAAATTGTAGGAGCATTAAGTGGATATTATTAATTCACCACATGCATTTTTGGAGCACATCTAGTTCAATCACTGTAACCATTGATGTTTTCCGTCTATTTTTCATATTACATGAAACAATAGGGGTTTATGCCGATATTTTGAAATGTAAAGGAGATCATATATTAATATAAAAATCCAAGGTGATTAGATGTAATTTACCATAAAATCCCGTAAAGTCTGTCACATTTTAATTGGATTGGAACTTTCCAATAATTTTCGTTGTAAAAAATGCCAATAAACTGTCCAACTACTTGTGTTTGCAATACATACGTGTTCACCATTCTGTCAAACTGATTTACATTTCTTAATCTTCTTTTGATTAATTCAAAGGAACCCTCAAGGAAAGCAACGTCTACCCATTTATTAATGACCAAATCCGCGTTGCTTTGCTTTAAAAAATTCATCAAGTTTAAGGGCCACTTTTTGAACATATTTACAATGATGCCTGCAGCATCAGTAAGAAGCGACCATTATGATGGTTGCTGATCTTTGTTTTTGCAAGAAACCGGTCACAATAGAGCTACTCCTGTAAATCCTCGTTTATGTTATCAGTTTTTGTGAACCAGGGTTTTTCGAGAATGAAAAGGAACTAATATTCTCTTGCTCCATATTCTAACTTAAGCGATGACCAACCTAAAAATCCCCACTACACTACTAAGTAGTAGGCCATAATATATGCTTTCCTGCTGTGGATGAGAGAGAGAGAGAGGATTGGAGGAGGAAAAGAAAGAGAAGGAAATCTTTGTTATTGCTTTGCATTAGAATCTTTAAGAATACCCTATGGTGCCTTATGATCATGTTCTAAAGGATATAATCCTGAAAATTTAATGATGAAAACAAAAAGAATTCATGGCTGAAGATTCAGTTTCAACGATGAAGGTTTGACATTTTCATTGGAGAACCTAGTAAATTCTTTAATATAGGAAGAAAATCAAAAAGAGCTCTAACATTTAAAGGAAATTTGTGATCCTATTGCCAATTGCGTTTGTACACATATCTTCTCAATGATCCAATATACTCTTCTTTAGACTGACCCTCCATTTCGTTGACCTCATTTTGATACGTCGAGAGCTACATACATTAAGCAAAACCGCTATGATTATCTAACCTAAAAAAATTTAAGGGTAAATTACATTTTACCCCACTATGGTTTACCCTTTTGAACATAACCCCCCTATGACTTCAAAAGCTATACATAACCTCCTTGTAGTTTGAATTAAAGTGTCAAAGTAACGGAAATAGTTACTCGTAATGGAACTTTTAAAAATGTTGAAATTACCCTTATAAATACATGACACATTAACCCCGTCTGATTTTTATATTTTACCATATAATTCCATTATGATTTTCAAAATATACACATAACCCTCCTTGGTTAATACATAAATTTCAACTTTACATAAGGGTAATTTTGACATTTTAGGTGACGCCGTTATGAATGATTATTTTCGTCACTTTGACACTTTAATCCAAACCATAAGGGGATTATGTATAGTTTTTAAAATCATAGCTGTAGACACCAAATTTTGGTGTAATTTCATTTACTGTTTATTTTTAGTTTTTTATTTGTCGTGTTCGTTTTATTCGATTTTTAGTTTTTAGTTTCTAGTTTTATTTCTATTTTTAAGTTTTTAGCATAGAATTTCTTGAAAGTGAAAAAAAAAAGAAAAAAAGTGAAAAATGATGAAAAATGAAAAATGAAAGAAAAAGATTGAAAATGGCAATTTTGTTGTTTTAGTTTGTTTATTCTGATATATTTGTAATTAAAATTGTTGTTTTTGTTATTATTTAGTTTTACTTTTATTTTTGTTAAATTATTAAGTTAAAAAAAAAAAAAAGAGGATTTGCGGCATGCAAGCTGCGTTTTGTCGCAGCTTGCAAGGAAAGGCTGGGCAGCCCCTTGGCTGCAAATTATAGAAGAAAGGACTGGGTTTTAGGGTTGAGGAGTCCCATATAAATAGAAAAAGAGAACATCAGCCGCAAGAGGAGAGGTTTTTGAAGGGACGGCTAAAAAATCTGGCAAAGGATTGAAGGAAAAACAGAGTTGGCGGCTAGGGAGAAAAACAATAGTAAGCAGGCTACGGGGTTTCTTAGTGAGGAAAGGATGACAAAACGGGAAGAGGCAGAGACCAAAGAAAGTGTGGGCTGAAAGGGAAAACTGAAAACAACCGAGAGAAGATTTTTGAGGGTTTTACGGCTAGAAAAAGGGACAGCAGCCGTGGATGAAAACACTACAAGAAAAATGTCCTATTATGACATACCTATAAGGACACTTTTTTGTAAGTGTCATTTTACATGTTTTATGAAGACAAAAAAAAGTGAGTGCCATAATAAAATAACATGAACCAAATACCATTGCACTTTGTTTTATATTTTTCTAAATTGAAAAATTTGAGATGTCAAATTAGAATAGCTATTAGGGCATTAATTGTGAATGTCAGCAGAAGTAATAGGAAATTGAGATAGAAACGACGTAGTTTTGTCACTGGTATAAATGAAATGGAGAGAAAGCGCGGGGAAAAGAAAAAAAAAAACGCGGCAAGGAAAATTTTGCCGCTTCACTAAAGTTTGCCCAATACATTTCTCTTTGAAAGGTCTCCGCCTCTTACAATTCATACCAAAAAATTCCCTCAGTTTCTTCTCCAAATCTAAACCCTTGGACCCTATTCACAAAATCCATCATCGTCAAAATCAACCTTCCATTTCTGCCTCTTTTTTTCATTCTTTAATCCCTACCCTCTCTCTTTCTATCTTGAGTTTTTAGATGCACTCCAATTTGACCAGAAGAAGAGAAGGATGGTTTAGCGATTAAAAGGTAAGTGTATTATGGGTTTTTGAAAATCATATGCTTTGCCTGCCCACTGAATTATTTTCTCCCCTGTTGCTAGTTTGATTTTTTTTTCTTTTTTAAAAATCTGATTTCTATGTTGAGTATTAATAATGTGATGGAGAAAAACATGGGGCAATATTAAAAGCAGTTGGCTGGTTGATTGATTGCTGGTTTTTTTTGCTCGTATCTAATGTAATGCCATATGGAATGTGTCCGCCTCCTTGTTTCGGCCTTGGGGCCATCGACAGTACCAATTCAGGACTCAGGAGGCAGTCCCATTCTCCCACCGCGGCCGATTGTTAATCTTAAGCAAGACAAACCCATCAAACCCTGCCGTGTGATTTGGTATTTGGCGACTAAGCCCGATCGATCAATTGAGGCTTCCTTTTGCAATCCTGTTGAATTTCTAAGCACCTTTTGCATTTACTTTAGCCTATTGATTCCACAAAGTACTTTGGCAGTCAGGTAATAATACGCTGATACAAAGTATAATAAAGTGTATAAAAATAGTGGTGGAGTTTTTTTTTAAATTCAAGTACAAAAGTGGAAGGGAAAAGGGGAAAAATGGATGTCTGAGAAGTGAATCAGGACATTATGATTATGTAGTTAATGCTTCTCTCAACCGAGTTGGAACTTGGGAATTGGTTTCTATTCCTACGTTAGTGCAACTGGTCTGGCACAAAATATAGGATGTAGAATCCCAGGTGCTTTACTTCTACTGACTAGTAACTACTAAGAATGTCAAAGATGGTGTATTGTTCATGTCATTTGGTTTCGGAAAAACATGTAAAATTTGGCAAAGTCAGAACTAGTGAATTGGGAAGAAAGTTAACTGTTAGCAATTGTTTGAGTTGTAGTTGAGTTTCCAAACTTGATTCATATTATGGTAATATGGCAATTAAGTTTACCAGAAAAATAATTGGCACCAATACAGAGGTTTCTAAATTTTAACTTGTAAAGCGAAGTTGGTCCCTCAAACATGAACATAAAATCTTTTTATTTCTTGAGTTTAAATAAAATTCCTACTATCCCAATGCTTTTTATGAAAATGTTATTCAATGAGAATAATTTGCATTTGTGGTTTTCTGTTCACATGGGGAAAATGTGCATGCCTTGGATCATTTTCGTGCATATGTTGGTGCATTTATATATGTACATAGAGAAAGTAAGCTGATGCCTTGTTCTGTTTGCTTCATAATAATGTGCATGCCTTGTTCTGTTTGCATAGTAAGCTGATGCATTTATATATGTTGGTGCATTTATATTTTCATGCCCTGTTCTGTTTGTTTCAGAATAATTAGGAAAAGTCATTCAGCACTTTTGGTTCTTTCTCATTTTTTAAAAATATTCTTCAAGAAATTTGCAAGCTGATGTTATTTTTCTTGTTGAATAATTAGAGAAGTACGTATAGCACCTATTCAAAATATTAAAATTTTACTAAAGTTCATTAATGTTTCACCACAGGTTTGAATTGAAGATAGCTATCTGTGAAAAGAAATCATTTTGAAGACGTTGCACATTGATTTCGCTAGAGGTACAAGCCAACTTATATTCTTGTGTTCTTTTTTATTAGGAATTAGATTAAGTTACATATATGATATTAAATTTGTTCATTTGTTTGAACCTGTAATGTACGTTCATTTTCATCTTTTGGTCATTTGGATTCTTAATTTTTTTTAAACTGGAGTGTCATTGCAGTAGATATATTATATGACCTGCAAATTTTATTCTTAACATTGATTTGTGTAAAAAACTATTTACTTGGTGACACGTGATAAATGGCTAGTAGCGGAAAACCTTTGGGGTTCTCATGTCTTGTGTTTTTATCTCAAACAGTGACCTTCTCGTTGACTTTCAAATAGCTTCTTGGTATCCTAATAATTTTTTTGTTGTATGAGTGATGCACTTTGTTAATATTATTCTTAATTGCTTTCTTTTGCTTATATATGTATATGTATATGTATGTATGTGTATATTTTAAGGTTAAATTTGTCATGGTTACAGAATATGGATAAAACTTGGATGCAAAAGAATAGACGAAGCAAAGAATATTGGGATGGTTTGCAAAAATTCTTAGATTATGCATTCCAGAATTCAAGTATAAATGGGATGATATTATGTCCATGTAAAGAATGTAAGTGTGGTGTATGTATTACCAGGGAGAATGCAGAACTTCATTTGAAAGTTTATGGTTTTGTTAAAGGATACACCCATTGGGCAGCTCATGGAGAATTTGTTTACTCTAGTGCACCAAAACCTACTTCCTATGATATCTCACATGGGGTACGGGATGAACTTGATGACATGCATGGTTTGGTTCATGATGCAATGGGAATTCCTGAACAAGATTATACAAGGATAGATGGAACTGAATACAAAAGCCAATTGCCCAATGTAGAAGCTGAAAAGTTTTACAATCTAATTGATAATTCTAACAAAGAGCTTTACTCTGGATGTAAAAGATTCTCAAAACTTTCCTTTATGATTCGGCTGCTTCACCTCAAATGCCTTGGTAAACTCAGCAACAAAATTTTTGATATGTTACTTGATTTGTTGAAAGAAGCCTTTCCAGATGCGATGGATGGTTTGCCTAAGTCTTATTATGAAGCTGAAAAGTTAATGAAGGAATTAGGACTTGGGTATGATAAATATGATGCATGTCCGAATGACTGCACTTTGTATTGGGGGGTAGATGCAAGAAGAAAGCATTGTGAAACATGTAAAGAATCTAGATGGGTTAAATCTGAAAATGATCCGACTGGTGAGGGAAGAAAAATACCGCATAAGGTTTTATGGCATTTTCCCCTAAAACATAGGTTACAACGCCTATTTATGTCCTCCAAAATTGCAGGCCATATGAGATGGCATGCAGAAGGTCGTACTAAGGATGGTAACATGAGGCACCCTGCTGATTCTCCATCTTGGCAAACATTTGACTTTCATCATCCAGAATTTTCTCAAGATTCTCGTAATGTGAGGTTGGGCCTAGCATCAGATGGATTTAACCCATTCAAAAATATGAGTTCAACTCATAGCACTTGGCCGGTAATATTGATGCCATATAATTTGCCGCCATGGATGTGTATGAAACAATCGAACTTTATGTTGTCATTGTTGATACCCGGTCCATTTGCACCAGGAAATAATATTGATATATATTTAAAACCTCTCATAGCAGAATTAAAGGAATTGTGGGATGTTGGAGTGAATACATATGATGCATCAAGAAAAGAAAACTTTCAACTTCGTGCAGCACTTTTATGGACCATCAGTGACTTTCCAGGTTATGCAATCCTCTCCGGATGGAGCACTAAAGGAAAACTTGCATGTCCTGTATGCCATAAATACACATCTTCACAGCATCTGCAAAATTGGGGAAAATATTGCTATATGGGGCATCGAAGGTACTTGGAAATGAACCATCCATTTCGCAAAGATGCTAAATCTTTCAATGGAGCTGTAGAGTATGGAAAACCACCAAGAAGGTTAATGGGGTCTACAATTTTAGATGAGTTAGCTGGTTATAGTATTAAACTTGGGAAGACAGTTAGTGACAATCCAGAATTGCCATTTAATTGGAAAAAATTAAGTATTTTCTTTGATTTGCCCTATTGGAAAGACAATATGATACGTCATAATCTTGACGTTATGCACATTGAGAAGAACATCTGTGAGATCATTGTGGCTACATTGTTGAATCTGGAAAAAACCAAAGATAATAAAAAGTCACGTCTTGACCTTCGTGATATGGGTATAAGATCAGAATTGCATCCCATTGAGAAGGGAAATGGTAGGAGTGTTCTGCCTCCAGCTTGCTTTACAATGAAAAAGAAGGAAAAAGAGATATTTTGCAAAGTTTTGAAAGGGATAAAAGTTCCAGATGGCTACGCAGCAAATATTTCTAGATGTATTAAAGTAAAGCCATCAAAAATTTCTGGATTAAAAAGTCATGATTACCATATTTTGATGCAACAACTTCTCCCAATAGCTCTGCGCAGGACTTTATCAAAAGCAGTTCGCTCTCCTTTAGTCAAATTGAGCAGGTATTTTCGCAAGTTGTGCTCCAAAGTTTTGGATCCAGCAGATTTAGTTCATTTGGAAAAAGAGATTGGTATCATACTTTGTCAATTAGAAAGGATTTTTCCACCATCCTTTTTTAATGTGATGGTACATCTGGCTGTTCATTTGGTTAGCGAAGCAAAAATAGGAGGGCCTGTCCATTATCGGTGGATGTATCCTATAGAAAGGTACTCATGAAATATTTAAGTGAAGTATTTTGAAAATTTTAGACATTTTTTATCATTAACTTCATCTCAATATTCTAAACCTGAATTAAAACTTGCCTTGTCAAGGTATTTAGGAACTTTGAAATCCTACGTCCGAAATAGAAGTCGACCAGAAGGCTGTATTGCTGAAGGGTATTTAGCTGAGGAATGTTTGAATTTTTGTTCCTTATACCTAGCTGATTATGTTGAAACGAAGTTTAATCGGACAAGTAGAAATGATGATGTGGGCAACACCTCAAGTGAAGGCTTCGATGTATTTTCCAGTTCATGTCGTCCATTAGGAAAAGGAACTCCAACAAATTTCAGCAATGAAATTTTGAGAAAAGCACATCAATATGTGCTATTTAATTGCGACCACATCAAGCCATATGTTGAGTAAGTAAATTCCTTTCAATTCAAAAAATTATATATGTTAAATACTTAGTGAGTTTCTATATGCAGCCAACACCATAAAATGGTGGAGGAGCAAAATCCATGTGCTGGAAAACATGTCATTGAGCGTATTCATTGTGAGAACTTTGCAGATTGGTTTTCGGACCATGTAAGCTCAACAATCTTACAGGTTCTATTATCTTTTTTTTTTATGCATAAAAGAAGAAATTTGTCATTGTTACATTTTGTATATAATAGGTTAAGCAGATTCAAGTGGCTGATGGTGTTGACATCTCCAAAGATTTGAAACTTCTGGCTAGGGGTCCAAATAATGTGGGGAGAACATATCAAAAGATTCTTGTCAATGGCTTTCGCTTCCATACAAGACAATTAGAATCTCAGAGGAAAACTCAGAATAGTGGGGTTCTTGTCAATGCAACAACATCAAGCTTTTCGAGTACTAAAGATAATAATCCAATTTTAAGTGACTTGGCTTACTATGGTATTTTGACGAATATCCTTGAGTTAAATTACACTGAAGGCCGAACTGTCACCTTATTTGAATGTGATTGGATATCAAAAGGCAAAAGATTAAAGCAAGATGAGGATGGATTCACATTGGCCAACTTCAAGAATGTAAAGCCTCACCCTGAGCCATATGTGATAGCAACCCAAGTTTCACAAGTTTTTTATGTTGAAGACCCTTTAGCTGAAGGCTGGAGTGTTGTTGTTGCTACATCTCCTAGGAATGAGTTTATGATGGACCCCGTATGTGATATTGAGATGTATTTGCAAAGCACAATTACCTCAACAACTCAAATGGACAATGAGAATGAAGACATTCGATGGGTTCGAGAAGATGATGGAGATGAAATACTCCACTAGCCTGAATTGTTGAAATGTTTGGTTTTTGCTATTAAAACTGTAAAAGTTGTAACTATAAACGTGGTTGCAATTTCACATGCATTTTTTTGTAGATGCAAATTCAGATTAACCTTGTTGTGTCTTTGCATTTGTCTATTTTAAAATTTCTGTTTTAACTTACTTGCACTTTAAAATTGATTTGTTAGTAGATGAAAATTTTCAGTCTAGTTGTAGCCTTTCTATTATCATATTCGTTTGAGATTTTGCTATCCTTTTTGTATTTGTGTTCTTTTATTTGTTAAATGTTTTTATTTGTAGGAATGGCAAGGACTAAAAGACAGAAGATTACTGGAAATACACTTGTTGATCAACACGAGGATATAGCTGAAAATCAGATTCACATTGAGGAGCCTAACTCTACAGGTACATCTCTAATAAGTCATGCCCAGTTCTGATTTTCATTCTTGAGATTCAATTTCAAAACTTTTAGTTCTACTAGTTTCTTTTGGTAATGAAATTCATCGGTGTCATATTTCATGGTTATAGATGAAGAAAATGCAGATGAAAATTCACAAAGAAAAACTAGAGGGCCAACATATATGACAGAAATATGGGGTAAACCTAGTAGTTGTCATCGGTACAAAGTTAGATTTGATAAGGATGGTGAGCCTGTTGGCAAGAACAAGTCCAAATTTACTGAGTTCTTAGGAACAATAGCAAGAAATGGAAAGTATGCTCCTCTAGACGTGACAGATTGGCGTGAAATGACAAATGATAAGAAGCAAGACATGCTTGTATTGGTGAAGGTAATGCACATTTTGCTTGATGCAAATATACAGCTGTACCCTTTATATGACAAAAATATGGATCTAACTATTTGAGGTGTTATTGTAGGAAAAATTTCGTCTTCCTCCAGGTGCAGATTTTTGGACTTTGAAATCAATCGGCAAAAAATGGAGAAATTGGAAATCAGCTTTAAAGGCAAAATATTACAATCCAAATGAATCCATTGAGAGTCAAATTAACAATAGGGATCAGCGGATCTTGAAAGATCAGTGGAGAAATCTTCTGGCTTACTGGAGCTTAGAGGAAACAAAGGTATAACTGTTTTAACTATTAAATATCAAGCATTATGTTGAGATTATAAGTTTTCACTATTTTTCTATAATTTCAGAATACCAGCGAGAAGAATAAGATGAGTCGGGCTAAGAAAACAATGAATCATAAGACAGGGAAGAAATCGTATGCTCAAATTCGAAAGAAATTGGTAAATCTTTTAAACCTTTTAGTTTCATTTAGTTTTTTCTTGTATCACCTAGTGGTCTTATGAAGACTTCATTTTCTATAGATGAAAAAATTAGGTCATCTCCCATCACGAGTTGATATGTTCGAACACTGTTATACTGACTCAAACGGAAACCCGGGAAATGATGACGTTGCAGCTACATTAGTAAGTTATTAATTGGTTGATGAAATTAGTACTCTAAATGACTTAAATTGTCTACTAACTTAGGACTGATTTTATCTTCATTAATGTAAGATAATCGACTTTAGTAATATTGAATTTTTTCTGGATTTTAAATACAGCAAGCTTTGAAGGAAAAAGTTAGCCAACTTCCCCCTGGTTCTAATGATGATGTTGGTCGTAATGATGCATTTGCCCAAGTATTTGGGGAAGATAACAATGGGCGTGTGCGCATGTATGGTCTAGGTGTGACACCATCAGACAAATGGGGTAACATACCTAGTCGCAGCACTTGTCAGCGTATCGTTATGGAGCAAAAGGCAGCAATTTCTAAGATGGAAGATAAATTTGCTGAGCAAGATCAGCAGCTGAAAGACCAAGCCAAAGAACTTGCAGAGCTCAAAGCAATGGTGTGTCAGCAGCAAAATAGTGGCTCAAAAACTGGTGGCTCGATAAATTCAACGTCCTCTAATCATGTTTCAAAATCTCCTATGGGTGTTCGTTCTCTTCAGGTATATTCATGATTATTTTTCAAGAATTTATTGTGATTATACCATATGAGGATACTCACTTTTGTTGTTTGAAACTTGTTGATTCATTAAACTGCTATTTTGTTTGGTTATACTGAATAGTAAAACATGGTAATTTCAACTTAGTAAAGTCATGGTTATTAAGTTTTATTGCTGAAAATTGGAGAAATGCTCAAAATGCAGGGGAAACTCTACCAAATTTTTTTAAAAAAATAAATCTACCTAATTCAATTCTATGACTTCAAATTATCTTGTAGGAAGGTGATTGGGTGGATATTTTCAGCTTGTTTGATCCAACAAAATGTCTAGCTATTGGTCGCCTCCAAGGAATTGATCCTTCTAAAGTTGTTGGTGGACAACCATTAGGACCATGTTGGTGTGAAATACTAGTACAAATCGTGATGGAACGCAATGAACAATTGATTAGGCCTTATGGGCTATTGCAAACAATTGAAGATGCACTTGGTGCACCGATTGCTTGGCCACTGAAATTGGTATAATTTGACACAAGATTGTTCAAGTTTTTTTCTTTACAAATATTTGTAAGTTGGATGGATAATGAAGTGGTGTTCTTACTTAATCTACTAATTTTATAGGTGAAGATTCATGAGGATTGACAGTAGCCTTTTGTTTGGAGAAGCAAGAGTTGGACATCAGCCTTTTGTTAGAGAAGCAAGAGTTGGACAGCAGCCTTTTGTTTAGAGAAGCAATACTAGTTTTTGAGTTCAAATTTGTGGAATATTTTGTGTTCTTGAGAATGTTGCTGGATTCTATTGCAAGAGTTGGATGACAGCCTTTTGTTTAAAGAAGTATTAATGCTAGTTTTTGAATTAACTTCAGATTTGTGGAACTTTTTGCTTTATTTAGGATGTCACCAGTTTTTTACTGTCAAGCAGATTTATATTCTTTGGCATAGTGGCTGTCTTACAATTGCATATTATGTGTTTGGCGTATTGTATTAGGAGATTAGAGTAGAAAATTTAGATGAAAATTGCACAAAAAAAAGACATCTATTGAGGCACTTGCCAATGCCGACATTGAAACTAATGCACCTAGTAAAACCACATATCGTGACACTTTTTGAGTGTTTGGAGATTCCTTTTTACAATGGTAGAAAATGCCTTGAAAGATAGGTAAACACTACACTATAAACTGCCTCCATTAATGTATATAATGCACTTCATTGTGCCTAGACAATTACTTTTTGGCAACATGTAAAAGTGTCCTAAAAAGAGCAAAAATAATACCAAGTAAAGTGCCTTTATAGGGCATCTTTAGAGGCATTGGTGTGTGCCTATTTGCAATTTCTATCATGGCAATTGTGAATGCATCAAATTCATTAAACATGACGTTAAGAAACGCCTCCAACCTTTTCCAAACGGGTAGTTTAGTAGACATTTGATGTGTGCGCCTCAATAGTCTAAGTGCCTCTAAAAGTTTCCTATTGCATCATTTTGTTGCGCCTCCAAATATAATTTTTCTTGTAGTGAAAAGGGCGGCTGGAAAATCTGAGAGCAAAAGAACAGAAAAGTGACGGTAGAAAGGTGAACCAGCAAAGAAAGGGAAGAGCTTTGGGAGGATGAAGATCTGAAAAGAGAGAGAGCAAGAGGAAGAGTGAGAGAGGGCCGAGAAACGGAGAGATTATCGAGAATTTTCTGGGAAAAGAAAACAAAGGCAACGGGACAAGAAGAAACCAAACGAAAGGGAGTTGCAGCTAAGCAAGAGGTCGGTGACTTCAGATCAAATCCAACAAAGGAGAGGAGCTTCGCCGGGGTGTATCTCTTCCGGCAAAACCACTCCATTTTCATTTCATTTGATTACCACAAAGGGAGGAGGTATAATCTCTTTTATCCTCTTGCATCTCCTACGTGATCCAACGTGTTAAGTGAATTGCATGTCTACTTTGCTTTCTTAACCTTTCTTTAATTTCTTTTATTTATGTCATTTACTTTTGCTTTTTATTTAAGTTATTCTTTATGGGGTATGTGTACACCTCTTGGCTTGTAATAGATAGGGCTTGGAGGAGCATTCAATGAAGACCTATCGAAGTCATGTGCCTAGCTAGCAAATGTAATAGTTAGGGCTTTAATCGTCTTATGTGTCTTGCATGCTTAGTTGCTACGTGTTAATTTGCTTTGTTAGGGTCTTGCATCTAGTCGAGCATGCTAAATGTTATGTGCTATGTGTTTATGAGTGTTTGGCATGTCTACTCGCTTTCCATAGCCATGAATGAATGTGATGGATGAATGTACGTTTCCGCTAGTCCAACGCTAGTCGGAATTCATAGAATGGGCTAGTCCAACGCTAGACCCTTAGGGATTTCCCCTCGTTAGTACATGTTTGCATGTTCATTACATGTCATGCATTTTTCTTAGTTTTATCATTTTGCATGCCCCTCGAACCCCTTTTCCCTCCATTTTAGGATTTTTGCATTTCTTGCTAGTTATAGGGTTCATTTGCTTGTGAGTCCCCTTAAATATGGGATATAGACGAGTGTGGCTTTTTCTAAGCCTTAGCACGCTTGTATTCCCTCTATAAAAGGGCAAATTGAGTCACGATTTAGGTCTCCCCGTACCCAATATGCATGAATTCCCTAGGCTCATGCATTTTTAAATCCACTCTACCATTTTATGCCCTCATCACACTTTCATCTTTCCTCCCATTTTGCACACGTGCACCTTTATGTTTCTTCACTTGCACGCGAACACTTTATCATCACTTGCACACATGCACTTCATATTATCATTTCACATACCGTACCTTGCCCACTCACGTGCACATTTTCATTTACATATTTATTGTTTTTATTACTTTTTTAAACTCATGTCCTCACATTGCATACATGCATTCCATTCATTTGCATCTCACTCGCATTATTCGTGACCTCTCCAAAGGATCATTATTGGGCTTCACAATTAATGTGATTGGCATCACTCAAGCTTTGGAGAGAAATTTTACCCCCCATGTCCCCCTAGGTCTAGGGTTTGCATTCATGTAGTACATCCAAATGTAATAAATTCTTTGGT